TATTTTGTTTGATACTCTTGTGATATTTTTTGTTGGTATGTTGCTTTGTTTTTTGTTGATGTGTGTTTTTGAGTTTTGTTTGAATTATTTAATGTTGTATGCTGTGATTAAATATTTTTGTTGCTGGTTGTGATTATTTATTTTGTTTGCTTGTTGTTCTTGATTTTGTTTTCTGTTTGTTGTGTTGCTGTTGGAAAAAATTCTTTGAATTCTCCTTTTACTATTTTTTGGAGGCCCGAGAGCTCTACAGCAGGGCCGACTCCATCACGCGCCTGAGCTCGGGCAAGAACTGTTCCAAGCCCGAGCTGCTGGTGCTGCGCCGGGGCAATCCTGTTGCCAGCGCAGGATTGACAGCCCCTGCTCGAATCCCGCATTAGGCCCGCACCTGGCCCGCGCCCGGCCCGCGCTAGGCCCGCACTAGGCCCGCGCCAGGGTTTTTTCGGGCAAAATCGGAAGCTTGGAGCGAAGTCGGAATTCCGACCTTGGTGGGAGAGCGAATCCGATCTTGGTGGGAAGAATTCCGGCCTCGGTGGCAGTTTGCCTCACTGGCTAAGATCGGCAAGGCCGTGAAGTTGCCCAGCTTGGAAGATTCACCGCCGGGATTCAACCCTGAGCCAATATGGATCTTTTGGACAAGGGCGCTTTTGGGGAGCAGCCCGAGCTTGTCACCGCGATTCGAGGCGCCGAGGTCTCCCACGCTTCGTGTCACCCCGTGACACAAGCTATCGGCGGGCTGCTTTTTCCACCCAAAAAGCGCCCCGGTGACAAGCGGTGACAAGCGGTGACAAGCGGTGACAAGCGGTGACAAGCTGCTTTTTCCACCCAAAAGCACCAGTAACAAGCTCAGCAGGCTGCTTTTTCCACCAAAAGAAGCTCCCTTAGCTCAGTGGTTAAGCACAGTCTCTGCACCACCCTGGTCTGGGGCTCGAATCCCGACTGTTGGCTCGAAACCCGACGGCGACACCGGGCTACCTTTGCCCATTAATGAACCAATATTGTTTCAAGTTGATTCAATATTGATTCAATTGCCAAGATTTTGAGCCCTTCTCAGGACGTTCGGCAGGTTGGCGTGTTAGACCCGGTGACAAAGACGGTGACAAGTTCAGCAGGTTGTCGGGTCAGGGGCGAGGAGCTCGGCAGGCTGCCGTGCTTGGGCGAAAAACGGAAAATTTGCTGAAGAACGAAGTCTTCGGGAAGTCGGGAAGTTGGCCGTTTTGGGCGCTTTTTCGATCCAAAAGGGAGCGGTGACGTAGCGGTGACAAACGGTGACAAGCTCGGCGGGATGGATCTTGGCAGCTTTTTCGGGCCGAAAACGGATCGAGAGCAACGTGCGCGTCTAGAGCCTGTTTTCGGCCGAAACCGAGCAAATCTAGAGGCTGAGGCACCTCACTTGGCGTCTGACAGAAAAAACGAGCTTTTCGGGAATTCGGGAAGTTGGCCGTTTTGAGCACTTTTTCGGCCCAAAAGGGAGCGGTGACATAGCGGTGACATCACTGGTGACGAGTTCAGCCGGTTCAAAATTTGGCTGTTTTGGCGGCTTTTTCGGCCCAAAAACGAAAATAATTAGGGTAGTGTAAGCCTATGTTTTTACTACTCCGCTTGCACACCAGTAGGTTGCCCGCAGGGCAGCCCACGGCAACTAATGCCTTCGAATGTTCAACGCCTCACAGGTAATACACCTGGCGCTTGGTCGAACACGCTCTGTTGACCGCGGGGGCATTTGAGAAGGCTCCGCAGGGGGGTGCAGACATGGGAAAAGGACACGCTTTGTTTTTCCCCCTGCACCTCCAAGCCTGAACTTCCAAGCAACGCCTTATAAAGATAAAGAGCGAGCGCACCCTTTGTCGGTCGTTCTCTTTTGTCTCTTGATGCATGTTCCCTTACGGATTGAAGCAGTGATCAAGATTCTAACATGGCGCTCCGCCTGTTTCCACACTTATGAACCGTGTTCACATGTAACGAGGAAGGCAAAGACCTTCCGGCAGTGTCGTCACTGTGTGTCGCAATCAGGGACACTTGTGGGTAGTTGTTTAAGACCTCTCCCCCCTTTTGACACACCCTGGTTTGAGTCCCATCCGGTGATTGAATGAGAACCTTGACTTCCCGGCGTGCAGCCAAAAAGATGAATGTTCTTTATCACCAATATCAGAATGAGAAAAATATAAGAACATGCATTAGTTAAAGAGATAGAGTCAAACACTCAGAATGGAGGAATTAAGCTAGCCATTGTTTTTTTTTGTGGTTTGCTATCAGCAACTGATTTACTTGGCTTGTGTCTTTTTGAAAGTCCCTCTCGCGTATGAGTTGGTGAACTATGGTGAAGATCACTCTTGGCCTGTCAATGTCGCCTTTTGTGCTAAGTTTTCACTTCTTTGTTTTTGCCCCCCTGTTTGTTTGCGCTTGGGCAATGCCGTTGGCCGGTGGCGATGGCTCTTTCAATTTCAGGTTCTGGGTGCCAACCGCCTCGGTTCGGTTTTATTGCTGTTTCGTTGCTTGTTGTGGCAGAAGGTTGGCATTTTGGATTTGCTGCCACTGCAAAAGGTTGCTTCTCTATTGCCGTCACTTGCTCAGCGCAACAATGTTGCTTCTAGTTATGGCTGAGGGTCTTGACATGTGGCTCTGCACCCGGTGAATTTCGTTTTTTCGTTGATGATGCGCACCGCGGAGACAGTGGCTGCGAGGTACAAAAATAGTCTCCGTTGCTTCCACCTTCCAACTTGGCGCTGTTTTTCTCCCTATCAACCGCTCAAGTTCTTGGTTTATGCATGGTTTTGTGCAGCAAAGCATGTTGCCACATGGGTCCACGCGACTCTCCAGCCCACGCATGTGGCAGGCATTGACTGGGAAGAGAACTGGAGTCGCAACTAGTCGCAACGCTTTGTAAACCGCCCTGCCAGCCGCTTTAGGGTTGCTTTGAACCCAGTTTACGCAGCGCCGCCTGGTTTTGCAAAGTGCACCATGGAGGCTCTGGGCGCACCGCCAAGCGGCCAGCTTGTTTCAGCCGCGTCTGCCATGCGCTTGGAAAAGGAGCACGTTCTGCTCTTTCGTCGTTGGATGCATGTTTGCTGTTCAACTTGCCGTGACGTTGCGCAGGTCATTAAAGAGAAGGTGAATTTGCACATTCAGTGTAAGCCCGTGCCCTGGGCACCGCCTGTCAACCGGAGCGCCGCCTATTTGGGTCGCAGATGACGCAGGTGCCTTGATCAGTCGCTTTGCGTGCCAGATGTTTTGCGGGAGGTTTTGTGCTTAATAGGTGGTTTTTGTTCGGGTGGCTCTGGTAGCCCGTGCTTGCAGGCGTGTCGCTTGCGAATTTGTCGTGCCCGAACCACGCGAAAACCCCTGAAGTTTCCAGCATGAGGAGAATCGAGGAATCTCCGTGTGAATTTTAGGTGTCTTGCTTGGTTTACATATTTCACGAGTAATTTCTGCGCCTGCCCACCAACAGGGATGTGAGTGGTTCTTGAGGTGGAAAAGGTATTGTGTTTCAGGTGAAAACTACATTGTGTTTTTGCAGTTGCCCATTCAATTGCAAGCAGACACGCAACGTTAAACTGACGCACACATCGCAGACATTTGCCCTTGTATCCTCAAGGGATGCCAGGAGTGTGCGTTCGCCACATTTTCCAAGTGCACAGCAATATGGTACTTGGCCGCAGCTGTTTGCTTGGCCCATGAGAGAAATGTTTGAATCTGTCGCTGGACGGTGTGGGTAGGCAATTATTTTTGCAAATGGCAGCAACCAAAGAGGTCACGGAAAGACATAAAACCTTTAGGCTTGCCATGAGTTTCGCTTAGAATTTGTTTGATCGCAGCCTGTGTGCGTCGCGAATGGGTGCAGGCTTACACGGAATGCATTGGCGGCTGTCAAAATCGGAGATATATTCTTGACCAGTGAGAGAGGGACACTTGCCAAAGTCAATCATTGGGAAGGGCCCTTGGTTTCGGTGCATATTCATATTGGGCCAACTGTCACATGCCACGGCCCGTGATTCTTTTTTATCCCAGAGTCGTATCTGCTGGATGGGCCCAAGCCAGGTGCGCATCATGAGTGAAGCCTCGCTCCGGGCTTTGGATGTGTCCCAGCTTCAGGATGTGAGACCGTTGGTTTGGTATCTATGCCCTGGCTCCCACATAGGCCAGTTTCCTCGAAAAGGAGGGTGTGGACCGTGTGGACCTTTCGTCTGGTATGTTATTGGAAGAAAGCCAAGCTGACGCTGAGAAGGAGAGTCTAGGCCAGCACCCAGGCTTGCGTTTGGCGCTTCTCATGCCACGTCCCATGCAACCCACGCGCGCCTGCCTTCTCAAGACTTGACTCAGGTGGCAACACGAGGGCTCCAGCGTGATCATTTGTTTACTTGTCAGCGCGGTTTGTTGCAGCATTCAGAGCACAGCGGCTGGATGGGTATCTACACCGTTGGTGAAACAAGCAGGTTGGAGTCCCCCAACAAGGAATACAGGAAAGCAACCATCGTGGCCTATTGTGAACAGACAAGACAATATCTAATTTTGCATACTCTTATTCTACTGGCAAATTCTTTCATGTCGCTGCTCATGCAAAACAGAGAAATGCGCGGTTTGTGAAGCGGGCTTGATTGATAAGCGTGCAAGTCCAGCCATGATGCGATGGAAGCCGCCAAAGCTGCTGCTCACATCACTCTTTTGCGCGGGCGCTCTTGGCACAATTTGGCACAATTTTCCATCTTGCCTCTGCCTTTGGACCCTGGCACAACAAAACGTCCTGTCCGCTACATTGCTGTTTGCCTTTGCACTCCGACTAACCGAACACTGTCGATATGAGGGTGTGTCAAAACTAGAGACAGCTGAAATGACAGGAAAGCAATCAATCGGAGGTCGGTTTATACGCATTTAGATGTGATGCATGGACGCGCCAGGCATCCGGACAATCCCCCAGGTTTCAGAGAGCTGGCCGGTAGCCCAGTCGTGGGAGGAACCAGGGAACTTCTGGTTCTTTGTTGGCAAAAGCAAATTCCCCTCGCCAGGAGTTGGAGGCTGTTGATTATTGTCTGGACTTGAGATCCTCTGATTGTTTTTTCACAAAGGACAAATGCTGCTGGCGTGAGCTGCGGGATTTGGCTGCTCTAAGGAGATCATCCAGCTGTGTAACCATCTGGTGCACGGGCAAATCCTGGCACGCCCTTCCGGTTGGATTTGCCGGCGCATCCAGCCATTGTCGTGAAGTGTACAGTAACCTGATGATGCAAGGGAACGTTCGATCTTTGATAGCCCCGAGTTATCAATCGGAATCCAGGAAGACCTTGGAAACAGGGCGGAAAGTCCAGAAAACAAGCAAGAAAGATCAGTATAGATAAACAGAGACTGCAGAGACAGAGAGAGAGAGAGAGAGTTTGTATACATTATATATATATATATATATTTGTTATATGCATATATATATATATATACACACACACACATGTTACGGTACCCTCCCTGCCCATGTCATGACCATGTTCGGATTTTTGACAAATGGCCATGGGTCAAAATCCCGTACCCCCAGTGAACATCCCAATCCCCACTAAAATCGACTAAAATGGGTGATAGTACCATTGGTTTTGACCCACAGCCAAATAACAAAAAAGGGGGTTACTCAGGAGGAAAGGGACAAGTTAGAGACTCACCAAAACGGTCCGTGCCGGAGCTAGGATGCGTTTCCTGGGGCCCAGCCGACATCACTGACCCGGCAGAAGGTGGGCGACCAGCTTTTGCAGGAGCGAACGGTGGACGGTAAGTGGTATGTGACGAACTGGACAAACACATTGGATATCATTCTTTGTTCCCCCAAAGATGACTTGCACTCAGGGACCTGTAGAATTCCGAAAAAGGGGGGATATTTCGTTAGTTCAAGTGTTTGCAGCCTATTTTTTGGTTCGGGCGGGTGAGGGGCCTTCTGAACATCGCAGGATGGGATGGGGGGGGGGAGGTGGCGAAACTCTCTTGAGGGAGCAACACCCAGTTCGGTTCATTTGTAAACGCAATCAGCATGAAGACATGCAAGCTATCGACGCATGTTCTGTGGGTCCTGTGCCAGAAGCTCAGCGTGTGAAATGCAATGAGTTGTGAGACTGCCGAAACTGCGAGTGACAACTTCCATGATCCAAGTACGCCAATGGGTGCCTGGCCTTTGTGCAGATCAACTCTGTAGGATCCTTGCACGCAAGAACCGAAGGCCCGCAAGGATTCAGGGACCGTGATTCGTGCCCTGTGGTGACCGGTTAGACCATCCCAATGTCAAAGATGGGGCGATCACTTTGAGCAGGAGCCCTACCTGGTTTGCGAAAAGACGGATGGGGAGAGACACCTGCTGCTGGCCTATGAAGGCCGCATTGAGCAGAATATGGCTATGATACTTCATGGTTGGACTACACTCAAAGAGGGACATAAACGCAATCATGTACTTCTGATGTCCTCCAAGAGGTCCATTTCCGCTTTTGAATGCCGATCTTACCAGGAGGAAGCTGTCAGGTATGGGTTTTGCAGGTATGCAGGCTTATATAGCAGCGTATTAGCTTCGGAGGGAGCATATACCAGATATCTGCATTCGAAAATGCCTGTGATCCCCGGAAACTGCCAAGGAGGGGGTGGGGGTTTGCTGGCCAGCCTTCTGGGAACGCCTTGTGGGGGCAGTGAGGCCATGTCTACCTCATCGACCGCAAGTGCCGCGTCTGGCTCTGCCCGGTGGGCTGTCTGCACGCGTTGATGAGCTTACCACAGCCCAAAGCCACCACTTCGATTCGGCTCAGCTGCTCACTTCCGCGCACAGGTGCAGCTGCCTCTGCCCGACCGTCACGCAAGGCATCTGAACGCAGCACACACAAACGCATGAAACACATGTTCTGTCCAGGGCACCCTTGACGGCCATGTCTCGCGGCCAGGGCCCCTGGGTGGCACCACAACACTCTGTTGGATGGTGAGCTGGTGGTGGATATGGAGGTGCGAGGGAAATGTGTTGCCGTCGCTCCTCCTACCGTCTTGGCCCGCAGGGGTCAAGTACATGCTTGCGCTACTTGGTCTACGATGCGATGCACATGTTTGATGAGGACCGAGCCGATTTCAAGCGCATGTGTGGCACGCTGCACGCCATGCTTTGCCTCAGGATCTAACACACCGAACCGTGGTGTACCGCCTCAGGAAGGCGCTGGCAGATGTGATTCTACCGAAGGACGGCTGAGAGCAAGCATTTCGCCTCAAGAGGGTCTGGCATTGTTTTTGCCTGCCTGGGTATGTGTCATAAATAGTTGGAGACCTTGACATTTTGCTCAAAGAAATCGACATGAAAGGCACCATTCAGTGTGCCTGGCTTTAAAACGCAGCTGACAGGAGGAGCTTTTGCGACATGGCCGATCCAAAGATGCCGTCCAGCTCATGTTGAAGGACCACAACTGCCAAACTGCTTGTCGTGGGTTTCAAGAGTGGGATCGATGCCAAGATGACTTTTGGGAGAGGTTCAACCAAAAAGCGGCATCCTCAAAACAAGACACACCCGTAAAAGAAATGGCTGTGGCTCCAGTAAATGTACCAAAATGGCACCTTGGTAAATGGAACCAAAGACTAAAACCTGCGTAGTTCTGAGTTTGAGCCCCATCCAAGTGGCAAGATGAAGGTGGGTCTTGCAACAGGACTTCTTTGAGCTATGGCAGATCAGAGATGTGACTGCTATCGGCCAGGCTCTTACTGTGGGGTACCTCAAGCGAACCATCCCAATGCTTGGTTTCAAGCTGGTATTCTTTGAGCGTTTGACCAGCCGCATAGTGCTGGCACATCACAGAATGTGAGTTCGCTTCATATGTAAGTGTGCGGACAGTTTTCAGAAGGGAGCGGGCCGCCATGGGGCCTGGAGTTGTACAAATATTGTTTGTGCAGGAAACGCTGCATGCAGCTCATATCCCATGCACGAGCACATGTGACGGACTGCTTGCGCAGCCTTGGGCATGTGTTCTTCTACCACACATAGGTGTAGTCATTTGCTGCAGATTGCCTATCCACCGACCGGCCTGCCTTCATCAATTTGAAAACTCCACCAGCTACGAGTCAAGCCACTTTTACAGAATGCTATTTGTTGAGCGGCCGAATTGCAATCAAGTTTATTTATTGCCACTTTTGCAATATCTGCACAAATCACATTTTTTCGCGCAGCCTAGACACTCTTGACCGCAAACTCTCTTTGGCGCTTGTGTTAAGCACAGGTCATTGACATGTTTAAAACATTACTTTGTCCGTGAACCTGCCACAGACTGTCTAATCTTAAAAGCCAAGGCAATTCATTGAAAGAAAGCTGAACAAGAGAAGGGCAAACAAAGAGTGCAAATGCACGGTACCGATGCCACAGGCAAGGAGAGATAAAAGAGTGTAATGTGCAGAAATGATGCCACACATCTCTGTTTGAAAGGAAGTGAAGGAGAACAATAAAGAGGAGAAGAGATGAAAACAGCGAAATATCAAAAAGGTAACAATACACAGAAAGAAGAGAATGGAAAACGTGAAAACACATGCAAAGAAGCGATGCTAGAGACTAGAGCCACATCTGCAAAAAGGATAAACAACAAGAAAAAAAGGAGGAGATTTGAAATTTGCAAGACTGCCACAACTACAGATTAGAATGGATGTAGAAAACGAAAGAAGAGATGCAAATGCAATACAAGGACACTATAATAATGCAAAGAGTGCGCAGTCACAGAAGATGATTCCTCAAGTATATGTTGCACGATGATTCCAGACATCCTTGACCAAGGTACAATCAAAGAGAGGACAAGGATGCAAACAGGACAACATTGCACCAGGATAATTTCTAGACATGTTTCACCAAAGTACAATTAGAGAAAGGAATCGGACGACAGCATGATGACCAGGATATTTTTAGACATTTAGGGCCAATGTACAATCACCGTACACGTGCACAACAGCTTCTTTTTTAAATGAAAAGTATAAGGTGAGAACTGGCGACCACAACAATCCACCAAAAGGAAGAATATGCAAGGCAAACAACAAATACACAACACCAAAAGTGCAAGGATGCAAAGAGAAGACACCACACATGGAAAGTAATATGTTGAACCCACAGAGACATGCCCCCATTCTGAAATTTGCTGAACAGTAGGTCACCAGCAGTTGTGCGCAAATGCAGTGGCTCAGATAGGCGACCTCAAAAACATCGAGGTCATTCAAAACTAATGTGTCAGGGGACAACTTTGGCCATCACGCGTGGGATATATGCTTAATGTTTATATGTTTTGTTTTCATGGTGTTTTATTTTTTTCATTCTGGTTCTCACAAGAATCGGGAAATCCACCAAAGCCAACCAAACAAACAATTTGTCAGGGTAAACAGTAAACGTCATACACCTATGTTTCCTGGATCTCTTTATATACATATATATATGTGTGTGTGCGTCGCTTGATGTTTGGTTTTTCCCGGTTTGTTTGGTCAGAGTATTCAAAGATAGCGCTTAGCGGTCGATCATGGCGCCGACTTTCATACTCAGGCTGCTGTGGCCCCCCTTGCTACTGTATGGCTCCGAGTCAGTGTAATTTGGTGCGTTTTCAGGAATTGGATTCGTCTCCAAATGAGGGAACCCTGCTTCCCTGCGGTTCTGTAAGCCAAAAGAAGAAATGTCAGGAGGTCCCCTTGTATCACTCACACCTCGCTCAGCTGCGGAGCTACCTCATGGCACCGACGGCCTGGTGTTCACCCCGGTGCGCCAGGGGCGGCGCTGCGCTCACGGCGATGGGTGTCGAGTGTCGACAAGTGAGGAGTCATTGTTGAAAAGGTTGGGGTCAAACATGCAAATGGTTGGGGTCTAAAATGCTTTTCTTTTTCTTTTCTCGGATCCAATGGTTGGGGTCGATATTTACATGGGTCTGAACAGGTGATGTTTGAAGCAGAAATGCAGAAGCCCTATTGTAGGCCGAACCGTGCTCATTTTTCGGGATCTGGGAAAAAGGCAATTTGCATGTTGGCCCGACACTGCAACAAAGTTTTTGAAAGAGAGGTGCCAAGACTCTTGAGAATTTCCCACAAGCACGTGTCGAGGCGACTTCTTTCCTTTTTGGCTTTGTTTCGAGGTTTGAATGCATAGTTTTTCGGAACGAAGCCTCCCTGTCAACGGTGTCCGAATGCCCGCACTTCCAAACCCAAAAGGGGCGCGTCTCGGGAGCAGGTCATGGTGCCGTACGCTCCGGGCACTTGCCCGGCACTGCTCAAGTGGAAGCCCGCGCACATGAACACGGTGGACTTCAAGCTTGAGGCGCGGCTTATTTGCTTTTGAAAGCCAGCTCTCGGAGGTGGAACAAACTTGGGGTTGCATCAAGCAAACTCTGCAGGGGTGGCACTGGCTGACACACAGGACCTGGCTAGTCTGAATGGATTGAACCAAGTTTTATTCTTTCTTTGGCAGACGCGCCTTTTGTGAACCCTGTCTGGCTGAGGTGGTCAGCGGAGAGAACAAGAACATGCACGTGAGGGGCTTGGGACAGGGGCCATTTAGGCAGGGTGGTGGACAGTTGAATTTTGGGCACACTTTCTGTGTCATCAAGGAAATCCCCTTGATGGGACAAAGTAGTCATGGCATGGCAGACAGGGTGAGTTTCCCGCCTGCAAGTGCTGGCTGCTTTCAGCTTGTGAACAACCAGTTCCAATGCTCGGTGTGGCTGACGTGTGCCTGCCGGAGCAAGACACCGGCTAGGCAGGGCAAGCCCCAGAAGCACCTTGCTTCCAGTGGATGCCCAAAACGCATTCTTTTGAAAGACATGTCTTTCAGGCGACCTTCCCATGCTGGGCCCACACACGCACACACATAAGCATAGCAAGCGGAGCCATTGATTTTGCATGGTGTTCACAGGTGACGACTATTTGGCACCATTCAGAAGCACTTTCCAGCGAAAGGACAAGTGTTGCCATCGAATACATCCCTGTTAGCCGCTTGGGTTCTCCCTTGCGGATCCTTGTTTCAAGGCGCCTTACACTGCTGATTTTGTCTTGGGAAGGATTGTTTGGGTTTTTGGTGTGGATCGCTTTGCTGGGATCTCAGGTAAAGCTGCTGGTGGGCTTCAAGACGGCGCAGCAGTGGCAGGCGCCTGGAGGGCTCGATGGGGGGTGTCAAGGACGCACGGCCGAGAGGAGCTGCGACCATTCGAAACCCAGGGATCCTTCTTTCTAGAAAACCTAGAAAACCGAAAAGAGCGATGGTTGTAAAGAATGGAAAAGGAATCAACCCCTAGAACTATGTGCAGGTCTATGGAAAGGAGCTAGTCTGCCCTGAAGTCAGCTTTCAGTGTAGGGACAAGGCTTCATGTGTTGGCCCATCCACTCCGCAGGCCCTGGTTGGGAATGAATGACACGCAGGGGTTGTCTTTTCATGCTCTTGACTGTTTTCCCTCTTTGGTTTGGATCGTCAGTATTGATTAAACTCTGTATCAACTTTCTGAGGGGACTGCCAAACTCATAGTCTACAATTATGCAAAATCATGAGGGGCCGCACCCTAAGACAGCCCCAAACACTAGCCCTTGTTACCAATGCAAGGCCGGCCGCCCTCAAACACCTCAATCAGCCTCACTCCGAAAAGCGCGACACAGGTGAAGTTCTGCGGCCACTGGCTGGCAAAGACCGGGGACGTGTTCAAGAAGCTGCGGGAGGAGCTGTCGATGGGTACTCTTTTGAATTGAAGGCCCTTAGGGTTGTTTTTTAAAGGGGAGATCAAAGTGAAACCAAGAATATGATGAAGCCCATCTTGCGCAACCTCCAGTTTTGGAGACAAACACAAGGGCGCCGTCACAATCGTCTCACCTGCAAGGCGGCTTCCCTGAAACTCGCTACTTCATTGAACCCTGGTGCCTCAGGATGAATTGACATCTCTTCAGGTAGCAACAGTTCGAGTTTCAGTTTCGTTTCCGTAGAAAACCCCATCCACATGCGGAGACTTGGGGCTGTTGATTTCTGTTTTGGCCAATTTTGGCCAAGGTCTGTGTCCTCAGCTTCCAGCCGGACGGCCGTGAGGACCCTGGGCGCTTCGAGGGCAAGATCGGGGAGTGCAAGTGGCAGCCCTCAGCCAAGACCTTCACACCGGCGGATCACTTCAAGCGCGCGGCCCAGCGGGAGTCGCGGAAGTCGCGTTGCGAGGGCTTGGCTTTTTCAAAAGAATGGGACAATTGGCTGTGGCCAAAGAAATGGGCCGAACATGGCACCTTGGTAAATGGAAACAAGGAGTGCAACTTGCACAACACTGGGTCTGAGACATCTGTGCTCTTGGTGTCCCTGAGAAGAACCCTTGTTATTTGGACTATGTTGATGGCTCCTCTTCCCAGGCATCATGGCGGGCAACGAAAACCATCGAGTAGACGTGGTCACAATGTGCCCTTCCTCCTCTTAGTATGTGGCTTACACCACACGTGGGGGGGTCTTTGTAATCTAACAAATGGTCTTTGGCTTCCTGCATCACCTTTCGCCCCCATTCTACGACCCAGAGCAAATTGGGTGTGGCTCAAAGTTCAAGATTTCATGTTGCTTTCTTGGTGCCACCCCTTCTGTTCCGAAAGAGGTCCGAGCTCCCTCACTTGGTTTCGCGTCTCGAGGTTCACCATGAACGGCTCCTGGGAGAACGGCGGCTGGGTGCTTCAAAGGTTGCGCGAGGCAGGTGCGCAAGTGCTGGCTCTTTTGGACGAGCAAATGAGCAGGGGATGGCTTTGACTACAAATCAACCAGCAATGACTATTGATCTGGACAAGAGCTTGGTAGTTTGGGCGCATCCCTGCTCAAATCCGTGCGGGCGTCAGTACAAAATAGAAATCAGACACTCATGGTGAGCTTCCCAATTTAGGGAAACCATGAGCATGCCCCGCAGGACGATTTTGTTTGGGACCGTGCGATTGCTTGTCCAAAGTCAGGTGTGGTGTGTGATATCAACTCATATCAGCGGTTGTGAGACAACATGACTGCAATACTCGGGGAAGCAGAACAGGATGCTCCAAAAGGGCTCCTTTCCTTGCTGGAGTCCTCACTCTTTGCAGCGTTTGAGACCAAGATTCCATGCGCGCTGGCGCACGCGCGCGCGCGCGCGCCCTTTTGTGGAGCACGTTCCTGAAAGGATGTGGACCACGATGAAGGGCCCCATCTATGGCCCGATAAACCCAGTGTCAGTGTCCTGTGCGTGGGAGGAGGACGGGTCCTCCCAGTCGGCTGAATTGCAGGGATGGCAGGGATGTTGGCAATTGAATAGACCCTTGGTACCCTTGGTTCGTGAATTTGTCGAGCGGCAGCCTTTTGAGCGCCTGGTTTTCTTGCTTTGTTGGCCTCGCCCCCTCTGATCAATCAGAGCTTGATTGAGCAGGGGTTGGTTTTGTTATGGCCTGCCGGCCTTTTGCGGTTGGCATATCTCATCTCAATCGGATGGTGGTTTTCTTGCATGTTGATGACTGGAAGGAACTTGACATCGGGGTATTTGATGGTCACCAAACAGACATATAGGGCATTGACAGGGCCCAAGGACAGAGTTGCTGGTGTGTTTTTTCCCTCGATGTGGCTCTTTCCTTAAAGAATCGAACAGTTGTCTGCCTATTTGAAGGGGAAAAAAGGGCAAGCCGGCTGGTCCCTGTTTGGTGGAAAGCGCAGGAGTTTCCGCTGGGGTCGTTGCCTGCACTGCCGCGCCGGACAGCAAACTTTTACGTGGGACCTGCGCAGCTCGGCAGAGATGGACCGTGTGACGCAGTGACATGGCTGTGATTTTTTTGATTGGTTGGAATATCCTCAAAATTGGCTAACGGACAGAAGCATCACACATGGTTCGCGCCTCCTTTGAAATGATCTTTGTCACATGGGCAATCCATCACCATTTTCTGAACCCGATTCCACATTGACCAAGCCTGTGCTTTCTTGCCACCGTCAAGATGCCCCCAAAAGAGTCTATGGGGTACAAACGCCCGGGAAACGATTCAGACTCCACCTAGGTGCTTGATTGGTGGCAATTTGCAAGCGAGCCCAATATCCCTGTTCACCATTTTGAGGGTGGTTCTACTGCGTGGTTATGGCTGGCATAGTACTTTTGCAGCTTTTATGACCTTGCTGCTAAAAACTCAAAAAACGGTATTGGGCGTTGAGACAGGATTGCCATTGGAGTGGTGGCCGTGTTTTCCTTTGACGGCGTCGGCATTCCCGTGGTGCTGGGCAACAGCTACGCCTCCCCGCTCATTCAGAATGTCATCGTGCCCAGCATGTGGGCGGCAGCAGCGCTGGCAGCTAGAGGCTCAGGCGTTGGACAGAGTTTCAGGATTCAGGAGCCTGTTTTGGATGCAACCGGACACCGAGGGCGCGCCTCTCTCCTTTTGGAAACCACATCAGTTCTCCGCGCTCGTTTTGCTGCTTTTGCGGGTGAGCCAGAGACAACTCCGACTGATCTCTGGTCAGCCAAGGTCTTTGCGTTGATCTTCCTGTTGGCCGGCCCCACTGGAGAGATTTCTCGTCACCCGCGCACGAGCTACCCCATTCCGGACCGAGCCCGGGAGATTCTGATCGACAGAATCTTCGACGAAAACCAGCCCAACATCACGGGGCTGGATGGCAACTCGTATTGCACCTCGATTGGCAGTGGAATCACCAGGGATATTTTGGCCCTACTCCCGCCAAGATTCTATCAAGAACACCAGCCCAAGCTGCCTTCCAAAGGGTAAGAGCCAAGAACCCCTCAAACACTGAAGTAAGAAGGTTTGCTGGTCCTCGCCTATGATCCCGGACGCAGGAGGGAAGTCTGATTTGCCAAGTCCGGACGCTTTTTTTGGCTCTATCACATATCGCACTATGCAGATGCGCAATATTAGCCTATGCAGATGCAAGAGCAAGTTGACGCCCACAAGCTCCGAGCAAAAAAGGGCAAAGGGCAATTCATTCTCTCTAGGTGGGGGGAATGGACCCACCCACCCCACTTCCCCACTTACCCACCCACCCACAACTACCCCACCCCACTCATCCTCCGAGGGGTTTGGCCAGGCGTCCGCTGTTTCGTGTGGCGGCCCAGTGGATCGCACCACTGCAGCGTGTGCCAGCGCTGCGTGACAGGCACCGAAGCGCGTCCCAAACAAGGGATTGGGGCCCATAGAAGGGATTCAGTTTGGTTCTGAAAAGAGGTCCCCCCCCACATGAAACGAAAAAAGAACAAACAACAAAAACGGTGAACATTTCAGGAAAGCCGACGCTAAACTTGGGGCTAGGGACATGGGATTCCATCACATCATAACCATTGTGCGGTTTGAGCATCACACCTCCGAAACCAGCTCGCAATCAGGGTAGTTCAGAGCTTTCTCGCGCCATGCCAGGCTTCGATCACCACTGCAGTGTATTTGGCCGCTGCATCACCAGCTCAAATATGCTGTGCTTCCAGGGCATCATCATTCTGCTTTTCTTCGCCTTGTCTGCACAAGCAGTGACCTTTGCGCCGCTTATTTGCAAAACTGCAGCTCGCTGCTGGCCAGAGGTCCTTTCCTAACAAGGCACACAACAAACAAAGCACTGAGACACAGACGCTATGTGTGTATGTATCTCTCTATATATATATGCACACAGAGACACGTCGTCTTTCACACCCTTTTGTCAGCTTTATGTGAAGATGCAGCCTTCTCGAGCACAAATTTTTTGCTCGCCTCTTTTTTAGTAGGTCGGATAGCCGTCTGAGGGAAGCCCACACGTTCTGTCAGGTTGCCCAGCTGCTAACGTGAAAAGCCAAGACTTCGTTTGACCATTCTGGATGGGAGTTCTACTTTCATAGTGGGCCTGTGTAAGTTGGTAGAACTTTTTAGGCCACTAAGACGACTGGCGCACTGGTAAACAGGTGTATAAATGTGGATGTGACAGTCTACAAGTTCACAATTTTCTGTTTGACTTGCTTGCAGGGAAGGAGCCATGGCCTAAAGACCTGTTTAGGTAGGGATGCCATGGGCCTGGTGGGGACTTTTGACAAGATGACCAGAAAACAGGAATTGAACCAGCTTCATTTGGTGGAAATTTGGTCCCCGCCTGCGCTGCCTGACAGAAGTGTCTGCACTCCCAGGATCGCTTTCTCCACCCCTGCCGTTCCCGCGCCGCAATCCAATGCCTACCCAGCCTACCCGGGCACAGTCGGGCAGCCCGGACAGCTTCAAGGGCCCTACGGGCGGGAGGCTGCGCCTCATGGCATCACCAGCCCCTACAACGCCTACAACAGGGACAGCTGGCAGGGTTGATGCCCCAAATCGAAGGGCCTTCTCCACTGGAGTCATTGACCCGTCGCAAGTTGGGGATACGGCGGCGCCTCGGCAAAATTTTCAAGACCAGGCTCCACGGTAAGTTTTGCTTACATTTGCCTCCCATGAGCAACAATCAAACTCAGGGTAGTTGAAGGTTAGTAGCTCTGGCCCAACCAGAAGTATATGCGATTTTGTGCCCTTTTTGGATTCGTTCCATGGTTTTGGGTCAACTCGTTTGATGCCTGGAGTTGGTTTGCTCTCGAATGCGGGCAAGTCTTACCTCCCGGAGTCGTAGGGACTGGCTTCAAGGCACAACGCCGTTGCCACGTGACCGCCCAGCGTGTGCGCACGGAAACGGATTGGCTTCAGCCCGACTCCCAGGGTTCCTTCCATGTGCTTGGGTAGAACAATGAACTTGAACTTGTTTCCCCAACAGGCACTTGCCAGGGGCCACGGATCACTGGGACACGGCGCAGGCCGGCTTGCAGAATGCAAGCACGCGCGCCGCACGGCCGCGCTGTAGACCTCGTGAAAGGCGCTTTTCCCGCTTGATCTATGCCGGACGAAATCAACCCATGGGCTCCGACAGAAACGACACCATGTGCCAAAACGGGTCCGCGAGCCCCTTTCTGGTTCCTTCGTTTGATTTTCTGGTGGATCTATGGGTTGCTTCAGCCCGTGCGCTGCGCTTCATGTAGCCCGGCCGGTCACTAAGTGACACTGGCCGCGCGGTCCTGACTGAGCCAGACCGGGTTTTCAGCGGGAAGAGATCCGTCTAGCACTCTGTGGATGTCGAATCGGATGTTTTGTCGTCAAAAAGTCGGGAGCGAGCTGGGTGCAGTAGTTTGCCGAGAAAGGGGATCGGCATGTGTCAAACATGGCAGGACAAGCAAGAGCCCAATGACCTGCGCACGGCGAAGCGCGTGGTGGAGTCCATCGAAGACAACTTGAATGAAGAGGACTGGCCGTGAGGCTGAGCCATGCGCCGCTTGGGTTCCACTTTCTGTTCGCGGACGGAGGTTTCCGCTGACGTGATGGGAATGTCGAGCCATTGGCGCCAGACCGGATGGCCAGAGCGTCACCGTCGGCTTTTGGCCCGAGCCGTGCCTCAATGGCTGAGGGGCCAGAGCCCTTTCACGAGGCGGTGCCGCGTCTCAAGGCCGACTTGGAGGTCCCACGCACAAGAAGGCCACCGAAGAGGAACAGGGGCACAACAATTGGTTGATCACACACACACAGACCTTCCCAACTTCATCAACTTCCCCAGCTTGGATTCACTGGCCACTTCGTGAGCTGTTGGCAACCTGGCTGTGAACCACCGGCTTCATCACTTGTTGTTTTTGAACCAGCTTCACACTCGCAAACACGGCTAACAACCTATTGGTCTATTGTCATGGCTTTTTAGTTGTTGGTTTCGGGGGAAATGGGGTTTCAAAACCCGTTAAAACCTGAGGAAACCAACAGGAAACAAACGGGGGACGCCGCAAATGCATGTTTTTTGGAAAACATGTCAGAAATGCAACTCTTGGGTATTCTTTTGCTTGGAAACCAGCTTAGGGCCTCGGGGAACCATGATTGAAATGGATGGTCATGGAGTTGTGAAACAGTGTCTTTTGCGAGGAACTCCTTTTGGGGTTGGTAGTTATGCCAAGGTCACCATTCCTCCTTCGTGCATAACGCAAAGGAGAAGACTGGGGGAACTACGCCTTGTGCTTCCCCCAACTGTGAAGGGAAGCAGGAACCCCTTGTCATGTTAGGGAGTTTTGAGAACCCCCACCCTCCAATATCATGATTCCAGGGCAGGTGGGTTATATATACATATATATATATATATATAACTTTCTTTTTCTTTCGTTTGCCTGATTTGGGGGGTGCTCTTTCTGAGTTGCTACACTTTTAGGGTGGTCTGCTGTTTGATGTTCCCTTTCTTTTCATGTCTGCCTTTGGTTTCCCTGCAACTGAAGACATTTCCCTGAGTTGTTTCCCAGTTTCCCGACGTTTGTCTTAGGCGTTTCTCCTTTGTTCCTTTTCCGGTGGCTCAATTACCCTTTGGACTCGCAGTTTCAGAGGAACGGTTCCTGAGAAATCCAGTGACCCGTTTCGGGTTTCCCCTTTGAGTAACCCAAGCATGCCGGAAGGTGAAACCAGGGGGTGTTTGGTGTTGACGATGTGGACAGGGCCATGGCCAAGGCCAAGCTGGTTGCGGCTAGGCGGGACACGGCTCAAGCGGTCGGCGATCAAAACTTAGTTTCTTCCTTGGTGAAAGACAACCATACAGGCATTGCACGTTGGGCTGAGTGGAGGAATTGACCCCCAGCGCCACTTGACTGAGCCGAACAATTGGAAGATTGCTAGTTTGTTTTGGATAGTGATGGGTTTTGTGCAGTATATCATGAACAACAGTGCACACCACAAACACAGATGAACACAAGAAACAACAGCGACGCAATCCACTTGTTGACCAGCCTCAGACACATACACAACACTAGAACGAAAGACACAAAGCCAAAACGGAAGTTTGACAGAGAATCAAATCAAAAGCTCAAGGACTATTGCAAGCTCGAACATGCCTTAGAAGTCGACATGAGCGCTCATACCCAGAACTACGCATACTTACATGCATGATCCCTTCGTGTATAATATATATATATATATATATAATATATATATATATATATACACACACGCAGTATTCATACACGCATTATTTGTGCGTGTTACATCGATCTTGGACGCTGTCCAATTAATCTGTGAGCGTAGCTATTGAACCTCATTTCGCAATCCGTCAACGGTATCCTTTGACAGGGAAACCAAAAGGAACCTGTCGCCATCTTTCTGACAAACCCCCTTGGACAACGCCACTTCTCGGAACCCGCAGGGGCGGCGAGGAAGCGCGAGATGTGCGCGGCGAGAGTCCTCTCGCGCGGCTTAAGGAGCGCTATGTGCAGGAGCGCATGGAGCGTTTGCAAAAGCTCTGCCCCTTCGGCCCAAGAGAAATGAGGTGGGGAAGGAGTTTCGGTTGAATGTGGTTGGTTGACTTGCATTGAGTTTCAGGAATGAACCGTAGAAGCCATGGAAGGCCTTGGTTAGACGAGGGAACGCAGAGATGGGTGAACATCCAGGGAAAGCCCTGAAAGGGACGCCCAAATTTGATGAATTTAGACAGCGCGGTGTTGGGACCTGGTTCCGGAGAGAAACCGCGAGAGGTGTTTGAAGGGAGAGATGTTTGATGGACTATTTGGCAAAGGGTTGTGGGTCAAAGTTTTGTGAGGGTCATTTGAGCAGGTTTCCTTTTGAGTGAAGACCCTTTCTGGCAAGTGTTTCTACTTGATGTCAATGGCTTTGACGTTTTGGAGGGGGTCATGTTTAACCCAGGCTTGTTCAAGATCCGCTCCATGCAAGCGGCTGCGCAACTGGTGCATCTGGTGTTGCAGAAGTGGCGGCAGGCAAGGGGGCCTTGACTTCTCCTTTTGCTGGCTTTGAACATCCCCTCTAGGGTCAATTTGAGGTGAGTTTTCGTTTGGGAAGGCGATGTTTGCGGGGAAATACAAGGCACTCTGTGCCATCGGGGAGGTTCAAAGGACAGGCCCTGGTGTGAACATGGCACTGACAACAGCCTTTACTATGTACCTGATGACCTCGTGCAGCGTTTCTTGACAAGTACGATCAGCTCACGGCTGAACGCTTCTCAACGGCCTTTTCTGCAGTGCAAGCCGGTGCGCCCTGAAAGCCCTGGCCGTGAATGTTTAGCCTACTTAGTAATACCATGAAACAGGGGCTGGTTCCCGATGACTTACAAGTCTTGGTATGACCTGCTTGAGTCTAGGTTGATCATCCAACTCGAGTGGAGGCCATTCGGACCTCTTCGCTGGAGCAGAGGATCCGGTCCCGGGAGGGCCGAACCTTGCTGCAGAAGGCGCTGACCTGCCTGGCTATCCTCACGCGCTGGGTGCGGAACTCTCGAATGATCAACAAGAAGCGGCGCGAAGGCAGCGTTGCAGTGGAGCACGGCCGAGCATCGAATGTGTGAAGGAAGTGTCTGTTCAAAAGTGTCTCAATGGAACTTGTTTGGGTGTCTTGGTTCGCCTGAAGAAGGGGGTCCCAAAAGGCTGCCCTAGATTTTGGACTCGTTTGGTTTCTTGATTTCTGCGGGTAGGTCCATTGGTCAGTTTTGAACCGGGCAATCTTTTTGTGCAGTGGTAGGCCTGGTGCGCTGGGCGCTTTGTGCCCTAACGGCTTGGTGCGGTGCCAAAGCCTCGGACCGCCAACGCGCCGCGGCGCACCGCCGGAGCGTGGCCGAGCTGCGGACGCGCCGCGGGCTGGGCCTCTGGCAACAGCGGGCGCTGCGCAGCCAGCGGCGGCGGGAGGAGGAGGACGGCGTCGCCGCTGCCTTGAGGTGACCTGAAGGGGGCGGGGGGGGGGGAGGTTTTCGGAGATGGGGTGGGTCGGTGCGTATGGTATTTGTTTGTTGGGGCTCCAACTTAAAAGCTTTGGCGCCAGTTTTTGTGCGCGTGGGATGTTGAGGACAAGCAGGCCGAACATCTCCCGGCAGCATTTTCATGAGGCAGCATTTTCGAAGCCGTGGTGACAAGCTGCCAATGAAGCGGAAAACCCCCCGATTTTCGGGCATCCAACCCTGGGAACGAGCCCAAGGCCCTTAGGCGCTTGGCACAGCTCCTAGAGGCCATTTGTTCAAAAAAAGGAAAAGAGGAGAAGAGAGGAGAGGGAAAAAGAAAAGAAAGGAACAGACGGCCGACGGCCCAAGCCCCCAGGCACCGCCTGCTGCGTGGCGCCTTGCGGCGCCTGCGGGGCTGGCGCCTGTGGCGCCTCGCCGCGCGGCGCTTGGACCTGCGCCTGGCGCGGCGCCGGGCGGCGCGGGCGCTGGCGGCGATGCGGCAGAGCGGCGCCAGGGCGAGGAGACGCCCCGGGAGGAGATTTCTGTTCAGGAAACCAACGGGAAACCAACGGGAAGTCAACAGGTAGCTTGAAGCCGCACTTGTTTCATGTTTTACTCTTCTTCTTTTTTTGTGCAAACCCATTTATGCTTTGATAACAGCCAACGGAAATTCGTTTTCTCGTTGGCGGTATAGACAGAGAAGGAGCTGTGGTTCATTTCCGCATTACCCCAGCTCCCCCTGCCCAGCACCTCCTCCATAGTTTAGGGCGGTAAATTCTTCCGAGACAACGTGCCTTTCTTGGAACTACCCTAAGTTCATTATTTTGCAGTACCTAGACTCAAACCCTGGGTTTACGTCCACCTTGGGATAGAAACAAGACGACGCGCTGCTCATCCTCCTCGTCATCTTGGCTGTGAAGGCCTGACTGGGGGCTTTGCGAAGGCGACTTCTGCTTATTCAGGCTCCTTGCAACGCAGGGTTGTGGGATCAAGGGTTTCTTCCCACTTCTGTGATACAAGGGAATCTTCCCTTTTTATGGTGGATCAGTCTTTGGGAAGCCCATTTTGTTGTATCGCAGAAGTGGTCATTTCCCACAGCTCTTTGATTCTTTGGCGGGTTGATCCCATGGTCGTGAACACCCTGTTGATCCTAGGGCGACCCCCATAAGTGTTCGGTTTGCAGTGCTATTCGAGCAACGTTACTCGGTTCTGTGGGGATTGGATGGATTCAAACGGAAACCAACAGGAACCTGCCTGGAGGGAGATTTCTCATTTGTTTGAGACAAATTCAAAGCACATCCAAGAGGTGTAGGGTCCTACTTGCCCAGAATTGACACCCCCCCAAAATCCATGACTGGATCCTACTGGGATTTTACAGAGGCTGTCTGAGGAACGGTCTGCGCAAATGCCTGCAAGTAGGACTTTAGAGCAATGAATGACCTGGTCCCCCTGAAATTTCGTCCCCCTCGAAAAGGAAGCCCACCACGCGCCGCGACACGCAAAGCGCCAGATCCGTTAGGAGCGGAGAGGCGGCCGCGGGCGCCAAGCGCCGGGCCTCGGCAC